CCAGATTACCAGAGACAGAAGGAAAGAACTGTTCACTAGTAGGCAGCTGGGTCTCCAGAGCGGCCACCCTACAAAAAAAAAAATCTCCACTACTTTTCCTCAACATCCGAGATGACACATCAAGTTTTGGCTGTCACTTGGAGGTACAACTGTCCTGTTGGCTGCCCAGGCAGCGGCTCTGCTTCCTGCGTGGAGGGATGCCAACAGGCTCTTATTTAGCTGGAAGATGGATAGGGCTTTAGTCTGTACTCCTTGAACTGGGTGTTGAAACAAGCCCATGGTGCTGATGTGGAAGTGAGTACTGGAGGGCAGCTTCTCCGGCAAGATCTGTGTTTCTCTTCTGCTAGGACTTAATTTAAAGTGTGAGTGCTCTGCTTGTTCTGGATCCAACCCTTGTTGCTAGATATAAGGCCAAGAGGGTCCGAGCGTGGCCTTTGCCCTCCAAGAGATCAGTTTGGTTCACTTCTCTGGTGACGTGAAATTCTTTCCTTCTCCACTGTCCTACCTCTACTGGTAGGACACTACACTACTGGGTTTGCTTGGGACTCAAGGAACAGGAGTAAAATCCACTCAAACTCTGTGCACCTCTCTAGCTGCACTAGTCTGCCGAGGCATGTCTGTACCTCTTTGCTGCTTAACACCCCCCACGATACGGGCCCCAGACGCTTGGAGCATGTTCCTGAGCTGCTGCGGGCACTTGGCCAGGTTCCCTCGGGTGTGGTGCTTGCACAGTTAAAGGGTTCACTTGCTGAACTTCTGCTTCCTTCACTTGGCACAGCCCTGCCCCGTCACGTGCTCCCATCAGAACTCCCCACCACTTTGAGGTAGACTTCTCCCCTTCTCCCCTCTTCTCAAAAGACAGGTGAGGAAGTCTGCTGTGCCCCGTGCTGGGAGAGCACAGATGAAAACATGCTCATTGCCAGCAAATCTGGGTGCAAACGCATGATAGTATCGCATTGTAAACGGCAGCAGGACAGCCCTTGCTCCGGCCTTCCGTGCAGTGGCTTCTGCTTATCTGTAATAACTGAAATAATAAAACGAGTACAGCAAGCAGACTTTGTCTTATTCCCATTGCGGAAGTTTCCATGGAGGGGTGTTTGTCACCGCCCTCAGCACTATCCCGAGGAAATGCTGGGTGGAGAGCTGGGACAAGGGTTGGCTCCAGTTGTCCTTGAAGCCCAAAGGGGGAAAGTGTTTTTTCCACCGATTCTGATGGAAGTCAGCCCTCAATAAGCCTGCAGCGGTGTTTCAGCACTGCTGCACTGGGGGGTTTTGTCTGTGCTGGCACTAATGCAACTCGCTTGAGAAAAGCCGAGAGCAACAGCCGTGACACGACTTCAGCGCTGCCAGCCAGGCTGCTCTCAGCTCAACCGCTGGGCAGAAAGCTGAACCAGGCTCAACAAGAATAAAATACACTAGAAAAGAGACTTTCACTCAAAATAAAAAATAAAAATAAAAATAAATAAATTAGCTTTTTCACCAGGGAAACAAGCATCCAGGAAGCCCCACTGTAACACCCCAAGAAGGTAAGAGCAGAGCTCTTCTACAGAGACAGGCCTCTGTGTCCCGTGGGACATTCACCTCGCCAGTCTCACACTGGTTTCCCAGAATTTACATGTTCCTTGGGGAAGGAGGATACTGAGGTTGCAGCAAGGCAATGTTTCCTACTGCTCCGTCTTCCCTTCTCCCCCTGTTGTGCCCACAGTTCAGTGGGCAGTCCCTGGCCCCAAAGCCAGCCCTGTGCCCTGCCTGGTGGAAAACAGCCATCGAATGTGTGTGTCAGGCTTTTGGCATGCAACCCAACTGCCGAGGAGCCGAGAGGCACCTTAAGCTCTCCACAGAGGACTACAAATACAACCTCAGTGTTCAATCTTAATCCAGCTTCAGAGCAGTCCCTGGCAGGAGCTCCAGGGCAGCTTCCTCCCAGCCATTACTCAGAGGTAATTAGTGGGGCGCTTTCACAGCCATTGTGCCAACCCCGTGACCGGCTGTGGGCTAAAAGGAAAGAGGGGATTTTTTCCCCAACA